ATTTAATAAGTGTTGCTTTTAAGTGTTACACTTAATTATATAATGTAACACAAAACAAATGTGTTACTACATGTTGTTTAAAGTGTTACCTAAGACAATAGGTAGCACGAGCACGAGCAACTGTAGCGCCAAAATTGTGTTATCTATTGTCAATAGTAACAATTGATGACTTTTATGTATCACTTTTGTGGTGTTACCTAAATTTATTTATGTTGTAGTGTCAAAAATATTCCTTTAGTAGAATGGAATTATATATATATATATATAGATATACTGGGTGTAGGTGGACCAAAACCCATATACCTAATTCTGTGGGGAGACCTTATTTAACACCTTCTTAGGTCTTTGTTATAGTCTATAGATACACCAAGTTGTCTCGTAAGTGAGGTGAATTTTTTTGTTCTCTCAGTCCAAGAAAAATACTTTCTCAATGTGGGTGAGGAGAGAGAACTAGAGTTAGAGAAGTCTTAGAAAAGATAGAGAAAGACAGTGTCTTCTTCCTTCTTTCCCAAAAATCGATCAAGTGAGATCTATCAGACAAGTTATAGAGTCATTGCCCACAAAAATGTTTGATTGGTGTCAGGAATACAGAAGAAGACTTTTAAGCTCACGAGGATACCCATTCGTCCAGTTTCGTAGACCGTGTAAGTCGTCTCAGAAACATCAAATTTTAAATGGCATGTAAAAATGAACTAATTCATGTCATGAACAACTGTAGTGTAATTTAAGAATTACTTGGTCTTAATTAATGAATTACACTAGTACATTTAGAATGTATTCCACAAACAACAGAGGATCATTTATTGATCATACTCTTAATCCGTAAGATAACAAATGGGCATATGTATTCAATATTCTTACTTTTATTTATCAAAAAATGAGATTCATTTCTTGGATCAATAGAATGGGCATAGGGTCATAATATTATTTACATGATGTGTCATTAAAATTATTTACGGACAATGTGTCATGGTACGTCAAGTTGATGACGTTCTCGAAATGAGCTCAAGGCATTTATTTTGCTAAAGTCTGAAGGTGAATTAATTTCTGGCATAATGAAAAGGTTCAGTGGTACTAGTTTCAGAAACGATAATTTAATTAATTAAACTATCAACAGTTAAATTAATTAACATATGCTATATCTTAAACATGGAGAGATAATCGAGTGAATAAATCTGGAGTCAAAATATAATTTTGAGTTAAATATGAAGTTCAATAGTGCTCCTTTAATGAAATTTTATTCATATGGATTGGGTGTATGTGAACCAGAACCTAAGTTACTTAATTCTATGGGGAGTCCTTATATAATTCCTCCGTAGAGTCCCTACTGTAGCCTATAAATACAGCATATCAACACATTTAGAAATATATGATACTATACCTTTTCGAACTCATCTAAGATGGATAGAACATCATAGGGTTGCAGATGGTATGGTTCGTAGATTGAGAAATCTTCGGATCCGTACCGAAATTCAGAGATTACTAATTCAATCTCCGAAACCGTACTAAGAAATCGAGACAATTTTGTTATCTTTCAGTTCGGTATTCCGGACTATCGGAACGATTCGGTTCTATATGGTTCGGTTCAGATCTTCGGAGATTTTATATTTTTTCAATTATATTTTGAATGACTACCTAGTTATATTTAAATTTTAATATGCTTAAAAAAAACATTCATCAAATACTTCATTGATTTTGAAGATTTTATTTTTTAAATAAACTTTAGAAGTAACTCTAAATTTTAGTTATATTAAATTTTAGTTATATTAAATTTTAGTTATATTAATTTTTAGTTCGGTTCAGATCTTCGGAGATTTTATATTTATTCAATTATATTTTGAATGACTACCTAGTTATATTTAAATTTTAATATGCTTAAAAAAAACATTCATCAAATACTTCATTGATTTTGAAGATTTTATTTTTCAACTAAACTTTAGAAGTAACTCTAAATTTTAGTTATTGAATTTTTATATGCTTGAAGAAACCCAGCATTCATCATATTTTCACATATTAAAGATTTTATTTTGAAACCAACTTTGGAAGTAAATTTTAGGTAACACTAATGTGCAACTAATATTGAAAATTTAAAATTTAAACAAAATATAATATAGTTTTTTCTTACAAAAATATTCTTTAACCTTTCATGTAAATCAAGTATTACTAAATATGAAATTTAAATGAAGCTTAATTTTTATTACTATATTTTATATGCATTTTAAAAATTCTCAAACTATATAGGATGAAAGTTGACATAAAATATATTAATTACACATATCTAATATAATAATTTGGTTCGTAATTTATGTTCTTCGGTTCGGTATGGAATGAGATGGTTCGGTTCGATTCTTGGTATGGAGATTTCACAAATTTCCATAATTGTATCAATTATTTTTCAGTTTGGTTCGGTTCGGAGAAAGTCAAACAGTCAACGGTTATTTTTTGGTCCGGAGTGATTTCAGTTTGGTTTTTGGAATGGTTCGAAACTCTCCGAGTCCTATGCTCAGCCCTAGAACATCATCATGGAGAAGAGAGGGGGAGAAGAGCTCCAATGCCTAGATCTCACTTTCTCTTCCCAAGTAAATGCAAAAGTGATGGGAGATAAAAGAGAGACAGAAATGAGTAGTTGTGAAGATGGGGATGGAGGATAGAGCATAAGGTGTTCTTGGTAGAATTTGAGAAAAAATTCGACAACGAGAGCAGCTTTTGGACGCGAGGACTTGGAAGGAGACGAACGGACAGTAGGTCAACAATAAAAAAAAAAGAACAAATAGAGAGGACAATGACAATACCTGATGGACAAAGGCAAAATATAGGAGGGAGCAGCATGCCAGAGGGATAAAGTTGCAAGGAAGGATTGGGCTGCACACTTTAATATATACAGTGAAAAAAAAAAAGAATATTGGTATGTTTGTATATAAAACAACACAGTTCATACTTAATTCATACTCTCTCTCTACAAAATTTCTTTGTGTCCATTCTTTA